GTTGTTGCATATGCGAATGCAAGTGTAGTTTGTTTGCCGTGCATTGTATCTGATAAGTCCGTTCCCTATGTGTAGTGGGCTCCTTGTCATTCTGTTGTTGCAGCACCATTGCTAATCGCCTTCGAGCTGCTTCTTTGCATATATCTTGAAAGTTTAAGAGGTACATGCTGAAGTTGCTAGATGAATGGAGCTTTGTCAAATCATATCTTATGGTTTGGTGTTATTGTTATCCCTACTCTATTCTCTGACCCCCACCTTGCCTTTCCTTTGTTTTTTCCACAGTTAAGAATCATCCAGCTGTTGATATGAAGATCGTGTTCCTTCCTCTGCTGACTTTTGAAGTGATTATCCTTGTTGACAATTTTAGGTAAGATATCTTCTCCTTTTTTGATGCCTACATAGTAGTACTCTACTTTCCATTTTTACATATATGCAGATGCAATGTTGTGCATGAATTTAAGTGGATTTGCCTGTTTCCTTGCTTCCATTATCTGTAATAAGTTTGGCTAAAATTATTATAGTTTATCCTGTTAGATTGTAGATTCTTCTTCTGGCTAGGTAACCAGCACAGGTGAAAGCTGTCATGATAATGATATATGTTAGTGCTTCCTGCTCATTATTCTTGTAACTTCTACCTTGCTCAGATTATATCTGGAATTCTAGATGAATAATCTGTCCACATTTCTAATGTGGTGTGCACCCATCAGAAGTCAGTTAGATCCATTTTCACACAACCCCCACTCACACAAGAGCCATTCAACTAGGCAGCTTAAGTAGGGAATTTGCTTCATACACATGGGTGCAGTTGCGTTCTATCAAAAAAAAAAAACTCTGCCCATACTGAACAAAAGATCAAACTTGTACCACAGGTGCATTTGCAAAATTTCGTGCAAAAATATAACTACATGTCTACTGTCCTAATAAGACCAGAAGATTTCAAACCTAGCAGCTATAGATGTACACATTTGTGGTACAATTTACAAATGATCATACTTTTTCATAATGTTTTTGCAAGTGTACATGTCATAGCATGTTGTACATCTATGTTTTTCTCCACAGATTTTTGAAATGTAAAAATTGCAGTTTCGAAATGATGCAGATGCACCCAGGTGTGGAATCCGCATTCAACTTCAGTGTTTTACCCGGAAAAAAACTTCAGTGCTGATTGCTGCTTTAGCTAACAACTGTATAGTAATTGGTCAAACCTTGATGGTACCACTAATATAGAACAACATGAAGGAATTCCAATTGTCTGTTCACTTTTCTTGCCTCTGCATTCTCAATGTATGCCTTTTGTGCGCTAGTTTTCATCCAGAACAATGTTTCTGAGTAAAATGGTTGTCTCCGTTCCCAAATTGGTGTGTTGGAAAAAGTATCAATACAATTTTAGTTTTAAGCATTGAAAATGGCAACGACACTGATTCTGAGTTTAGAGTTCTGTTAGATTAGATAGCTTCCATGTTTGCTCCAGGAGACCTGAAATTTCCACACTATTTAAAGAAAATGGAGACCTATATTGTTTACTTTTGGTGGGTAATAGATTGCAATGGTGCAGATTAGTCGGATACATCTGGTTGATACTGGTGTGTAAAAATAAGCATTTAGAGTTGTATAAAGTACAGCTCTATTCCAATATAAATGTATTATAATATCTAGCTCTATTTAATTATATTTTTATTCCATTTATACACACTAATAAGATGATGGTATTCACCCTGAAGTTATGAGTCGTAGTTGTAATCATCATTATGCAAATTGGCATCCAATTCTTCAAACTGTTGTTATTTCAATCCCTTCTTAGCTGCTTCAGTTATGTAACTTTGGACCTTATTTTTTTAAAAGACCACCCTGGATGGAATTGTATACTATCAACAGTAACATAGTTTGTTATTATGTGACAATAATTATGATTGTAGTAACTATGGGTCTTAACTTGTATATGTTTCCTTTTATGTGTTTTCTGTTGTTCAGAATGTGTAAAGCTTTAATGCCAGGGGATGAAGAAAGCATGAGCGACGAAGCTATTTGGGAGACGCTTCCTGTAAGTTTTCTCGTACTAGTGGATCCGAAAGTGGAACCTTCTTGAAATTAATCACAGTTCAAAATTTTCTTCCCTGAAGTAAACATATATTTACAACATCTCCTTCTGTTCACAAGGAAAAATAATGCTAAAGAAATACTCCCTCTGTCTCAAAATAAGTGTCGTTGATTTAGTACAACTTTCAACTTTGTACTGAATCAACGACACTTATTTTGGGACGGAGGGAGTATTTTGATACGGATGCCACTCACTTATAGAACTGAAAGTCATGCAACAGACAGCTAACTTTTTGTTTCGTTGGTAACTTTCTATTTCTGTTCGTAACAGATTGTAAATAAAAATATAATGATGTGATACAAAGTAATTACTAGATTGAATACATTATACAGCCCCTTTCAGATTGTACAGAGATTTGAATAATTCTATGTAGCACAAAACACAAACTTGGCCCAGCTGTTGATATGTCTTGCATCAACTCACCATGAAATAATGCATTGCAGAAATATATCGGTTAATTGTTAAACCTCAGGACTAATTCACCAAATGTATGGTTGGATCATTTCATTCTCTTTGATATTGATGCTCTAGTTGTAGTGCACAATTTGTCAAATTATATGAACGTACTAACACCCTCTTGGATCCTTGGCCCAGCGGTAAAGCTGTTGCCTTTGACCATGAGGTCACGGGTTCGAGTCCTGGAAACAGCCTATTGCAGAAATGTAGGCAAAGGCTGCGTACTATAGACCCAAAGTGGTCGGACCCTTCCCCGGACCCTGCACAAGCGGGAGCTACGTGCATCGGGCTGCCCTTTTTTTTATACTAACACCCTCTTCTTCAGTTGTCGGTTCACACATTGATAGCTTCCAGAATACAAATTTGCCCACTTTATTTATCTGGTAATCATAATTTCTTTAGTTGGCAGGATCATATTATTTTGGACACTGGCAGTGTCCTAAACTTTAACCACTAATTTCCATTCTAAAATATTTCGAAAACCCAACTGAGAGATATCAAGCTCCAAAGGTTCAACTATCACTTTAATCATTGAACTGCTGAACAGTCTACGAAACAGTTAGCTAAATTGATGATAGAGGGGCCACATGTCAGTTATCATCTGCAGCCCTCTCTTCCTTCTATTACCTGGACATGGTAGAAGAGAGTGAGCCTGAGCAGAGGTAGTAGGGAGGAGCAGGCCCAGCCCTAACTTGGATCTAGACCAGAGCCTGCACACCCTTATTTTGGATTTTGCTTCCGCTCGAGCAGGGGGAAGGGTCGTTGCTGTCATCTCGATGTAGTTCACCCAGCTTGCCGTGCCTTGACAGAGGTGGCTTGCTCTGGGCTAGCGATTACACCCAGATTTGGGGAAGGGTTCCTCACTTGTGTTGGCCAGTGGTGCGTTCGGTTGGGCTACTGATGATACCGCTTTGCCGTGCATGGATCTGTGCGCACGCCGATCGGACCGATGACAAGTGGCTCACCAACGATATTTCAGGACAACAATGTTGGCCACAGAATGAGTTGCAGAGAGACCTACGTGTGAGGCCAGCTATTTTTATTTGCTTACTTAATTGGTTTGTTGCTGGCTTGCTGCCAATGTGCTATGTAAGCAATGCATGTCAAATTGGATGACACTCGAGGCAAGAGATAATTTAAAAACTTACTAGTAATACCAACTCTTTTTATTTAGGATGCTGCAATGTGCCACGTCAGCATCAGTTGCCAAATAGGTTGCCCACATCAGGGGAAAACCCTCCTAGATTGCTGGAGTGCCGTGCTTTAGGCGTTTTCATAGCTCAAGTGTGTATTGTAGACAGCGTGGAGTTTATGGGTGAAAGTTGAACTTGAGTAATAATTGAAGGTTAGAAAATGCATTTTCCACAAAAGACTTGATTAAAACACAACGATATTCAAGTATCCAGTCTTAAATCTAACTACTTCTTCCGTCCAGAATTGCTTTGCGCTCAAATGGATGTATCTAGACGTATTTTAGTGCTAGATACATCCGTTTGAGCGTCAAGTAATTCTGGACGGAGGGAGTACTACTTGAAGGATATTGGTAGAAAAGTTGCAGAAGTTTGACTGAATGTGTCCCGAAGTGACATTTTTTTGCGTGATCCCAGAGTGACATGTTTTTTAAACTGGGTGAATGTTTGAGTGCAAATTGATAAAATACAGCCATGTGGAAGTATTTTAAAAGATAAGTCTGAATTGCATTTTCACATTCAACATAGCATATGTTACGCTGTTGTATATCACTGTCAACATTCTTACAGTTTGACAACACAAACTGTAAAAAAAAATACACTTTTTTTATCTTAACTACAGTACAGCCATTAATATTTATCTTATATTAGATGCCTTTGATTTTGTAACCAGCATTTCTGGGTCGCAATCTCTATGGTGTTTCTTATAGCTGCGACAACCTTCACACTTCTCAAGTTATCTGGTAAAGTCTACTGACCCGCGTTCCAATTGTTACGTCATATAAGAACGAGTATCTTATTGTCTTGCCAAGCATCTTATTTTTTTTCAATGGTTATAAACTAGTGGGTGTTTTGAGGCAGCTCCTTAGTTCCTCAAGGCCTTTACCATAGAATTAACAAAGAACATATGCTGTTCGTCAATTGTTTTGTGCTTCTGGATTACAGTTGAATCTTGTTTCTATGCACATGACTACTACAATGCTAGGGCTCCATAGTATGGAAGACCTAGGCGTTCTAAGGTTCTTTTATTTATTTATAGAGCAGTAGAAGGGTGACTTAGGAGGTATAAGTGAGACGGTCTTATTTTGAGACTGCCGAGCAGGTTTTGTGCTCTGTAGGTAGTTTCTACTACCTATATACTTCCTGAACTGTAGGAGTTACATTCTATCTGATCTCCCAAAGCATTACCTAAGTTAATAATTTTTTGTTGGGCCTCCTAATGCACGATATGATGTTGTAATATTGGCTTATTACATATGGCAGGTGATGTTGGTGCTTTGGGATGGTGGGATTTATTTATAAATTATGGGTGAGATGGATCTCAATAAAATTCTTATTTAACAGCTAGTATGTCTAATAATCTAACCCATCAACTTGTTTATACAGGATCGCAGAGTGTTTTGCTTTTCTTGTTTGTACAAGATGGTTTAATCCCATGATTCATAGGCCTCCTACTCATGGGGAGGCTAGCTCATCATCATCAGCTATTAGATATCGTGATTGGGAGAGTGGTCTTGTCCTCCCATCACTGGAAGACCATGAACAAGAGAGGATTTGTGGCCTTCCAGACATAGGAGGTCATCTCATGAAAATACCGCTGGTGGTTTTCCAAGTTTTGCTTTGTATGCGGTTGGAGGTACATGCCATTCAAATCATATATTATGTAGGAAATATGGTTGAGATTAACGGGTCATATCTACTATTAGATGCTGGGCAGATGAAAAACTGCCAGGGAAAAACGTCTCCTTTCTTTCGAAAGAACATATTACTTGAATTCTGGAAAACATTGGCAACTTATTCTACTGAATCTGAACAGATCTTTGGAATTCAACTAGGGCGTTTAGTAAAAAGTAATACCCCTTCATTAGCTTCATTAGCTAGAAAACTGATTTGATCCGTAATGATCTTCATGACCTTATTGCTGTTAGCAATTCCTTCTTATGATTAGTAGTTTAATTTTATCTGCTTTTCAGGGTACACCACCTAGCGCTCGCTACATTCCAATATTTGCTCTTTTCTCCCCACTATTTATTCTACAAGGAGCTGGTGTCCTTTTCTCGATAGGAAGATTGGTGGAGAAAGTTGTTCTGCTATTGCGCAATGGACCAGTTAGTCCGAATTACCTTACAGTATCATCAAAAGTCCGTGATTATTTCGCTTTTCTTCATCACGGGTCAAGGTAAAACTGATAGTTACCATGAGCTATTATTATGTCAATTTATTTTCTTATGGGTTTATATTGAGTTAATTGCATGTTGGTACCACAATTGGGGCTAGGATAACGAATTGGTACCACTTTATGTTTTTTGCATGTCAGTACCAAGTCTGGGGCAGACCGTAACAAATTGAGCTAAACCTCGTATAAACCCATTTTGACAGGGAAACTAATGAGCAGGGCCCACTTATCAGGGGCTGATGTGGCATGTGTTTTGCAGAAAACCCCCTTGCTTTATATTTAATCATGCCAATGGGCCTGGGCTGGGTCAAAGTTGACACCGCCGAGTCAAAACTTGACATGTGGGGCCCTGGGAATAACACTAATCTAACCAGAAGAATAACCTTAAGCTAATTTACTTGTGGGGCTGCATGTCAGACTCAGGGGTGTGTTTAACAGAGTAATTAGTCCCTAATTAAGTGTGCCACGTCGGCGTGCCGGGGTTTGGTCGCCGACGATGAAAAGCAATGGTGGAGGTGCATCGGGAGGTCATGGCAATGGCGAGTTCGGCCAGCGAAGGTGCTGGTGGCGCACAGGGCCCTCGCACACGCGCTGTGGACGGGCTAGGCAGCCAGGGCGCTCGTATGCGCGCTCGGGACGGTCGAGGCAGCAGCATGCGACCGAACCATGACCAGGCGACGAGGGTGATGGGACTCGCAGGAGCTGAGGAGGAAAAGAACGCGGGCAGCGGGAATGGGCGGATCTGGCTGCGGGGCACCGTATCTGGCCGGCGGCACAAGGATTCCGGCGGACAGTGTCCAGATCGGCGGTGGGGGATCTCGGGCGTTCGTCAATGGCCTGCACCGGGAGAGACAGGGAGATGAGAGACCGGGAGTGAGGAGGAGGAGAAGGAACAGGAGGAAGGGGGAGCTGGGCGGTGCTGGGGCGCAACTGCTGCTCCCGGCGGAGGTGAGCTCCGGCTCGAGCTTGTTGCGATGGAAGGCGCGTGAGGTCAGGGAGAGTGGCTTTTTTTAAGCAAATTGGGGCTTTTGTGTGATTAAATATAAAGCATGGGAGTTTCTGCAAAAATGTTGGCACCTGACACGTGGGCCCTGCTCGTCAGGTTCCTGATTTGTTACGGTCTGCCCAGACTTGGTACTGACACGCAAAAAAACATAAAGTGGTACCAATTCGTTACCTTAGCCCCAATTGTGGTACCAACGTTCTATTAAGTTGCTTATATTCGGCGATCCACTATGGAGCAATGTAACAGTATTGCGCCTTCATGCTGACTTCTAACATGGTAGCTTCGTATATATATTGTTCAGGCTTCTTGGTTGGTGGTCTATTGATGAAGGGAGCAAAGAAGAGCAAGCTCGGCTGTTTTATACTGAATCTAACGGGTATTACTTCAGCTCATTCATACGAACTCATAAGTTACGTTAATTTGCTTAGTATGCTGCTATTTGTCTGTCAATGTTTACAAAGTCTCTGAACTACTACTTTGCTGTATCTTTGTTTTCAGGTACAATACATTCTCTGGTTACCCACCTGAGGTAGTAAAGAAAATGCCCAAGAAGGATTTAGCAGAAGAGGTATCCCTTTTACTGTTTTGTGATTCTATAATCATTTACCACATTAGAGTTTTATTCACCACATTAGAGTTTTATTCACTACCTGTGATTATTATCAACAAAAGCAACAATTTTCCTACTTGTTCACCTTTCAGGTTTGGAGACTCCAGGCAGCGTTGGGGGAGCAATCTGAAATCACCAAGTCTACCCAGCAGGAATATGAAAGGCTTCAAAATGTACTTGCTCTTTGTCTCACTTGTCCAGGCTCATTTTTTCATTGGAATCAAAGTTGTCTGTCTGGTATGTCGTTCATTCTCTGTTGACAAAGCCAATCAAATTCTGTTCGTTTCAGGAGAAGGTACTTTGTAGGATTTGCTACGAGGGAGAAATATGCATGGTCATACTTCCCTGCCGGCACAGAACGTTATGCAAGTATGCTTCGGCCTCTTGCTCTTGCCTACTCAATCTTTTCAACTGCACATTTCAGTTTGTTGTTAAATAGAAGCTACCATTTTTCTTTGCTGTATAGGTCATGTGCTGAGAAGTGCAAAAGATGTCCAATCTGCCGTAACCCCATCGAGGAGCGCATGGCTGTATATGATGTTTAAACCTTGCTAACTAAGCTGAACATTGCAAATCTGTACATGTGGGCTGTGTGATGTGCATATGTGCTCCGATCACAACTTTAAGCTGATTGAGGTCTGCACAACTCCAGAAAAGTTCAGCAATATGGAGAAAATATATCTTGTCTAACCAAAAGGAAGGAAAAGATAGCTGCTGAGCATTTTCGGGTTCCAGTTATGTACTATCAGTCTGTAAGTATGTCACCTTGGCTCCTTTTTGTGCCTCATAGATGTTCCCGTTTGACTTAGGTTGTGTTCACTGTAAATAAAAATGTCTCGTTTGTTTTTTGTGCTCCTTGACCTTGAGAAAAGAGAGTAAATGTTAAGGTATCTGGAATGGCATCTCATGGAACAAAGTGTCTATTTGGTCTATTGTTCCACCCGGTGAAGCGTGGCTCCTCACGTCGTGAAGGGATTACGCATACGTCTGGCTGGGATGTACAGTAGGAACGAATCTGCAAAAGGCTGTTGGTTTGCGTGCGCACATATCACCGTATTACCTGCACACAATTCTGGTGGTGTTGGTGGCTCGGGTTTATTTTGTCATGTCATCTCTAATGTTAGTTGAAGGCGAAGCTATACTTGCACGTTTTATGGGTGGGTTAAATAGAGAGATTTAGATCATTTTAGAGTATAAGAATTATAACAACATCACTCGTTTATTCCATTTTACTTGCAAAGCTGAATGTGAAGTGCAGAATTGAAGGCATTGGCGCGAACTAATTTTCTGCAGGTCGACCAACTCACTCAAAACTAAAAGAAACAAGGCATCTTACCGTTTCAAAGTGAATTAGAAAAGCTTATCAACTTGTATGGGCAGAACGTGCACGGATGTGCTGTAGCGAATACAAGGGTGAAAACTATCACACAATAAACTAGGGTATATGGTGGAATTTGGTTGGGATACCTAACGACACCAACTCACAAATCCTAGTGCTGATCGTTGCAATGTTTTTACCTTCATAGTGCAGGCATCTCATTTTTGACCACCACAAAGTAACATGCTTGCATCACTGAAAATTTATCAGCATGGCAACCTCAGAATACACTGTTTTGTAGTGCTAGCACTTGTTACAACATTATTGATCTTACTCCACCTTAATCTATCTTTTATTGAGCGTAGATCCATGCCTAACCCAGGTTCGCTCGATTTTGGGAGGACTAGCTAGATTCACTCAAATGAGTTCCAGTTACAACTGGAACGTAACCAACGTGTTGCAGTGGGAACACTTGTTAAAAATGAGGCTAATGATTAGATAACGTGTGATGATTGGCTATGATGAGATGGCATGTTGACGATGTGCTAAACATACATGATTATTGATGTGGATGAGTTGCATGGTTATAAAAAATAGTTGGATACTGAGGTGGAACATGTAACTAAAACAAATAGAAAAAATAAAATAAAATAATGATGTGAACTATTTATAAATTTATATATGATTTCGGTATGGATGGAGTGGGAGAGAGACATATATAAAAGAATGCAATTGCCTCATAAATAGGAGGTGACATACGGAGGAACGCTCATTGTTGATTCTGACCGCCGTTTTAGAGCAACTGTAGTTTTTGTCACTCTGTTTCGTCTTTGGCGCTATAGGCGTTGGAACTACCAATGTCTATGGTCCTAAGCACAATGTGCTGACAGGGCTGTAGCACCACCTTTGACCCCCTTGCATCCTCCACCTTAGCTCTAAAAATTTGCCACAACGAAGGTCTATGAAGAGCTTTGTCCACACATTGGTTCTGCACGGGCTATGTCTTCGTGAACTAGAGTTCCAAACTTGCATTTTTTGAGGATTGAAATGTACTACACTTCATACAAAAATATCATTTTGGCGCATTCCCTGAGCCCTCTCACCCATTGCTAGAGCGAAGGAAGGTCTGCAACCCTCTCTTGTCTCCAAATAGGCTTGCATATTAATAGGTTTCCAACTTTTGGTTTGCTTTCTTTCTTCTCTTTGTTTCTTTTTTACTTTAATTTCCATTTTTCCACAACTGAAGTGAATGGATCCAAGGACAATCAAATATGAGGTGATGCCGTTGTTATTAACTCGAACAACGTTGTGGATCATGGCATGCGGAAAGGGAGGTGGGAAGCGATGCTGGTTGGAGACTAAAAATGCATCTAGGCCCCGTAGTGGGTTTTGATTATTCATGACAATAAGATTAAGGGACTAATGTTTTACTCTTAAAGAGTTGATCAATTTAAGTCCAAAATAGGGTGGCTACTTGCAAGACAACTCCTCAAAGCTTTGGAGATTTTTTTCATTTGATATCAGATTTAAGATATAGGTATGTCAGTACTATCAAACAAGGATCTTATACCTAGTGAGGGGAATATATTTCTTGCTAAGTGCTCAAACTCAAGCCTCCATTACTCCCCCGAAAACCCTCACTCTTCCACCTAAACTTCTCTTTGTTTTTCTTGTTCAGAGCCTCCGAGTGGTATGCCTTTGGATCCTTTGAGTCTTCAAGTGTGTGTGTCTAAGTTAGCTACGACTATTCAGGCACTCTGAACGAGATGTTCAGGTATTCTGGGATGCTTGAGATATGTTCTATTGTCTTTCGATTCCTCCAAGTGTCACCCATCTAGGATCTCCAAGCCAGTTCAGTCAAGGCATCAAACTTAATTCAGACACTCTGAGCTATATCCGTCCGGACAAACCAAAAGTGTGCAATGGTGAAACCACAACCCTATTATAGTTCAGACTTTCTAATGGTGAACCATCCGAAACCCCATCTTTCATCTAGAATCTTCGAGTGATGTTCGTTTGGAACTTCCAATCCTTCAGGACATATTTGTTTGAGCTTGTTTGGAACCTTCAAGTATGTTTCTTTTGGACCCTCTAATATCTATTCTTACAACTTTGGACTCATTCAAAACCTTCTCATAGGGCTGGCTCAGACCCTCTGAGCGTACTTAAAGTTGCCACCTTGGCATTCAGATCTTTCGAGCTATAGTGTGCCGAATCTCTGACCTGTGCAAATCCATGTGTATAGATAATATTATGGGCCCAACTTATATATACAACATCCCTCTCCCCAGTAACACGCCTGCTAAGCCTTCAAGTTATATCTTTGCTAAGAGTCAGAGCTTCTCCTTCACCCATGAGATCCATTCATATCTTTTGAATAGTCCATCCTCCCCAATCTTAACGATCCACCTTATGAGAGTTTGAGAGTAGAGGAGATTTCTTTTGAACACAAGCAAGGTATTATTCATCAAGCCAATGTCTTCTTGTTACTTTTGGAGGGTGTGTCCCTCCTAGATTGTCTAGGTGCGGAAGCCTTCGATGTTTGTGGAGGTGCCAAAAATTTGTAAAGGCCTCGGACATTACCTACTTTGTGTCAAGATCTATCTCAAGTTGGGCTTGGACTTGGTGTCCATGGCGATGGTTGGATAGGGAGCCATGACCTTTGTGGCTGTCTAGTCGAGACTTCTGTGGTCCTAGTCTGTTATGACTTGGCGTTTGAACGCCCCATTTGTAAAGACGTAGGATTGCAACAACAATCCCAACCTCACGATACATTCTTATGTTTGCGGCCTTTATTATAGCTCTTTAATTTTCACAAGCTTAACTTCCACCCTTAATAGTATTTAGGGTGTCCTACTAAAATTTGTAATCATCTATTCAACCCCTCAAGACAATAACGATCTACAGGTGGTATCAGAGCAACAATTTCATGTTTTGGTTCTACCACCTAAGGAGAGGCTGTCGTATAACAAGGGATATCATCATCAAGGAATATACTTTGGTGGCTACAAGTATCATTCTTCAAAAACTCACATGTTCTATCATCTTCCAGTTATGGGCCCTAACATTTAGAGCATTATAGATGATGGTTTTTCTCCCCCAAAGGATCCATTGGATCATACCCTTGAAGAAGAGAAGGATTATCATCTTAATTCTCAAACAATTAGCTACTTTTAAGATTTGAGTGACGTAGCAAGCAAATTATGGCTCTTGAAGATTCAAAGACTGAGATGAGGACGTAGAGGGTGGCGTGGATACATCTATATAATATTTTATTCGACAATTCAGGTTTTGCATACAAATAGGTTCTCCTAAATGCAACTAGGTTTATCACGAACTATATGATGGCACAAGTAGCAACAAGGTAAACAACACAAGTGAAAGAGCCCGGGTAGACACAAATGAGGCATGCATATAGGGGATATCTCTGAATTTGCACATTGACTTGTATGGGGTAGTGCTAACAGAGTTGAACAAACAAAGGAAAAAGGCCAAGCCGGGTAGTGCTAATAGAGTTGAACAAACAGAGTCTCACGTAAGCGTACATGTAAGGTCGGTCCGGGCCACTTCATCCCAGGATGCCACCGAAACAAGATAAGACTAGTAGTGGCAAGAAAATTGACAACATCTACGCCCACAACAAATTTTTGTTCTACTCGTGCAAAGAAACTATGCATAGACCTAGCTCATGATGCCACTGTTGGGGAACGTTGCAGAAAATAAAAATTTTCTACGCTTCACCAAGATCAATCTATGGAGTCATCTAGCAACGAGAGAGAGGAGTGCATCTACACACCCTTGTAGATCGCGCGCGTAAGTGTTCAAGAGAACGGGTTGAGGGAGTCGTACTCGTCGTGATCCAAATCACCGAAGATCCTAGTGCTGAACGGACATCAGCTCTGCGTTCAACACACGTACGGTTGGGGAAGACGTCTCCTCCTTCTTGATCCAGCAAGGGGGAGGGAGAGGTTGATGGAGATCCAGCAGCATGACGGCGTGGTGGTGGAAGCAGCGGCGATCTCGGCAGGGCTTCGCCAAGCTCAGCGAGAGGGAGATGTGTTACGAGGGGAGAGGGAGGCGCCAGGGACTAGGGTGCGGCTGCCCTCCCTCCCCCTCTTTATATAGGGGGCCCAGGGGGTGCGGCTGCCCTCCCTCCCCCCTCTTTATATAGGGGGCCTAGGGGGTGCGCCGGCCCCTAGAGATCCCATCTCAAGGGGGGGCGGCGGC